ACCTGATTTTCTAGCTCTTTGGTTCTGGCCCCGCTGAGAGCGATTTTTCTTCCTGAATTCAGCCCAGGTAGGGAGTAAGCCACACAAATGCATATTTAAAAGCTGAACTGAATTCTTATTTGGAGAGCAAGGAATTAACAGGGCTCAAGTAGTGGCCATGGCTTGCCTGCTGTAGGGGTCTTTTAAGAGAAAGCATCTTGGTAAAATATGCAATGATAATAACAAAAGCCCCTGTTAGGGGCTCAGGAGGAAAAAAACCCTCAAATTTAGGTCAAAAACTGAATGTGAAAGTGAGGAAAGATCACACACACACAACCTTTAAAAGGTAAACATAAAAGAAAAATCTGGATAAATTTATCTCTTTGTCAGTAAAAAAAAAAAATAGCCTAAGCCTTAGCCAAGTGTGTTGCCAATTCTTAAACTGAAAGAAAAAAGAGAAATGCTTACTACAGAACAGCGCTGCAAACAAACTTCCAGGTAAGATGAAAATAGTCTATATCTGTGCTTTCCTACTTGGCAGCCAATAACCACACGTTGAGCACTGGGAAGGTGGCTAGTGAGACTGCAGAAATAAATTCTTAATTCTATTTCCTTGTAATTCATTTACATTTCAATGTCAGTCACTACAGGTAGCTAGTGGCTACTATATTGGACAGCTCAGCTACAGACAGTCAGGCCGAACAGCTGGCAACGTCTTCCATTTCCTACAATAAAATTACAATTGTAATCAACCAATAGTATCTTAATTTGTCACCAAAATTAGTACCTCTAGACAGGCCCCAGCTGCCCCAAAGTCAGCAAGCTTGAAACAAAAAGAAAAAAGACTAAAGACAGCAATTCCAGTGTGTCATTTCTTAGGACTTTGCTCTCTCTGCCCAGTTTACATTTCTATTATACTATGGCTTCACGTATCTGGAAATCTGTGCTTGTGGACAGAATACACATTTGTGAAACCAGAACGCCACCGCCTCTCTCCCTGAAGTCCGGGAAACATGAAAATGTGAACTCAGGGCAAGCTACATAACCTCGCTAAACTTCATTTTCCTCAAGGCTGAAGAGCCGATAATAATAGTGCTGATCTTCCATGAGGATTAAATTCAGAGAATACAGCAGGTAAGGTGCCTAACAGTGGCTGGCAAAGAGTAAGCACTTGACAAGTGATCGCTATAATTGATTATTTTGTTAATAACAACAGCAAAATCTGTAATAAAATAAGAATGATGCTACTACAATGAAAGTTTACAGTGGGTCAAGTTTTCGTAGGCCTAATCACTTTGAACCTGTTTCTCAGTCTATGGGAAAGTGGCATCTAGTAAAACATGTCTCGGGCCATGACATCTCGGCACTCACTGTCGACCTCCAGAGGGGCCATCACCTAGATGGGTACCAGGAGTCACCATAATCATTCAGCCAACCTTTATTGTGCCCCTACTCTGTGGCACAACAGTGTAATGTCCCAAGACTCTATACCATCTGCAAAGATTGGTCCCCACTGAGGCACCTCAGAGAGATGTGAAAATGTCATGCTGGGGTCCTTTGCAGGCAGGGAGGCTCACTTTGTGTCTCCTGGATCAGCCAAGCCCAGGTTCAGCTGCTGGCCCACAGAGAGGGATCAAGGTATAAGGGAAACTGAGAAGAACCAGCCCATTTTCTCAGCCGGGACAATGAGGAGGGTGTCAACAGGCCGTGTTTTCACTGACAGGCCACCTTGCTCATAGGAAAGCTGTTCTCTGAGCCTCAAAAAGCCAAATCCGATCTTCCTCACAAAGCAAACACAACCCCTTTCAACAGCTAAACTGCCCAAACCGGTGAAATCCAATGGGACTCTCCATCAAGTTCACATCAACCAGACCAATACGCTGGGAATTCCCCAGGAGCTTCTCGGCAGAAGTTTAGTGGAATTCTGTGAGGTTTGGGGGTTATTTTTATTTATATAGAAAGCACTCAGTCAATCTTCTTTCGCAACCAAGTGTGCATTCCCCTATGGAATTCCCTTTTCTAAAGATTTCTAAAGAACAAAATATTCATCTGATCGTCTGCAATGATTTAAATGTAAACCCATTTACGGGCAGTCGGGGATTTCTCACAGCTCCTCCACCTATGAAAACAACATGTTCCAGCATGTCCCAGGTGGTCCTAATTTCTGGCCTCAGAAGAACACTAGTAAAATGATGCTCTTGATTTGGGGATAGGAAAATAAGGTTGTAGTATCTGGAATCTCATATTGGTATTCTTTGCTAGTAGGAATGTAAAATGATATAAGCACATTGGGAAAAGGTCTGGCAGTTTCTTAGAAGATTCTATGACCCAGCAATTCCGCTCCTAAACATTTACACACAAGAAATGAGAATGTACGTCCCTAGGAAGACTCATACATAAATATTAATAGCAGTTTTATTCACGATACCCCCCAAAACTGGGAATAAGTCATGTGTCCATCAAAAGAGGGATATATAAACAAACTGTGGCACAGGCACAACCTAGATATAACCCAGCAATAAAAAAAGACCAAATGACTGAACATGCAGCTTGGGTGAATCTCAAAAACATGCTGAGTGAAAGAAGCTTTATACAATACTGTAAGAATTCCATTTACATGAGGTTCAAGAACAGGTTAAAGGAACCTCAAGTGAGAAACAATCAGAGCAGTGGTTGCCACTGGCAGGGTAGGGACAGGGACTGACAGGAAATGGAGATGAACAAACATTCTAGGATGATGGTAATATTCTCTTTCTTGATAGAGACTAGGGTTATACAGCTGTACACATCTGTCAAAACATTATGCAAATGTTACTCTTAAGATGTGTGCACTTCACTATGTGTATATAAATTTTACCTTAAGAAAATCATGAACACCTATTAAACTCTAAATAATAAAAAGTGTACTGAAATGTTCAGGAGTGACCTATATCAATGTCTGTAATTTCCTTTAAAATAAATAAACCAGTAAGTTGGACTTACATCCCAGTAAGATGGATAAAGAGATGAATAAAGGGGAAGATGTGTAATTAAACCAATAGAGCAAAATTACAGGCTCTAGGTGTGGGTATTTGGACGGCCATTGCTTTTGCAACTTTTCTACATTTTCTAAAATGAGATGGGCAGGGAAAAGAGTCACAGTGCCCTTGCTTTAGCCCACCACATTAGAAATTTGGCAAGGCACCATGCCCACCAAGCCATGGCCTCACATCATTTCAGTTCTGCTGAAAAGTGAAGATTGCAAGAACACGAGTAGCTTTACAGGAACTCACATCACTCATGCCAAAGATTTTCTGCCTGTTTCCCTACAGACAAAGCAATTATTTGAATGTAAGCCAAAAATTCCTTCTCAACAGGGAGAAAAAGGACACACTCACTTGTATTCCCAATTTATTCTCTTTCAATTCCTGCACCAAATCCATTAGCTTACTGCACAACACTCCGTTTCCATTTGCCCCATGTCCATGCAACCAAAGACAAAGAAAAATCAACCCAACGACCTGTTATACAAATGCTGCCAGAGGATAATGTCCCAGCTCTCAGGCCAGACGCCCTACTGAAGGCAAAAGAGGATGCAGAGCTCCTCTGAGGTTAAAGTGATTTCACTGAGGTTAGCACACATACGCACCAAGAGCCCCAAACAGCTTGTTGCTTAATCCCTCAGTGGGGTTTGGTGACATCTGGGGTCACTTGAACTTAGTAGGTAATTCAGCTGTTCAGAGGCACAAATTAGGAATCTCGGTGGCTAGGGACACGTGGGGTGCACAGCAAGCCCTAGCCACAGGCCCAGAGGTCGCTCACATTACGCCGGCCTTCCTTCCTGGCAGGGCCTCGCTTATCCTGAGATGACATACAATGGCAGGGGCTGGAAGACGCCTAGTCTGACTGCCAGCCCAGCATCTGAAAACAGCTGTACCAATTACAAGAGGAGACTGTTGCTGGAAACCAGGGCAACCACTCAAATATAGGGATCTGTGCCAGACTTTTTGAAAAAAAAAATACTTTTTGTTTGTTTGTATCAGCCCCCTAACAAACTCACTGACACCCCCAACGTCCCCGGGAATGACCCACCACCACACAGGGCAGCCGAGCATGTGGAACAGGGAGGCAGTAAGGAGCGCGCCTGGGTCTAGCACCTTGGCCTCCACGCTGTTCTCGCCGCCAAAAACTGCGATACTCTAGGTGAAGGGCAAGAGCCCCGGCTCGGGAGGAGGGTTTGCACCCCCGAAAACTGGGTTTCCTGAAATATACGCCGTCACCATCCCACCCTAATCCAGACCTACACTGACGTCCCTTGAGCCTAGGAAAGTGGGGTTAGGACGAGGGAAGAAATCCCCTTACAAAAGGGGGAATGCCCGTTTTCAGCGCCGGGGACGCCCCGCGCCCTAAGTCTCTAAGCCTCCAGTGGCTGCGGCGCTTCCTCTGAACGTGCGGCATGTCTGCTCCCACCCATCCATCACCCTGCCCAGGGAACAAACCTACCTCCTAGGGCGCACGCAAAAGGACAGCCAGAGCCGCCTACACTCCACCCTCGCGCCCTCCCGGACTCCGCTGCCAGCTTCCGCCTGATATTTGCAGAAGACCCCCTGCAGCCGTGTCCTAGACCCACCTGTAGCCTGGAAGCTTCCCCTCTGCTTCCTTCCTAGGCACCACCCCCACCCCCGCCCCGAGCCTGCAAAGCCCTGGACCCCCAATAGACTGCTCTGGGGTGCCTCTCCCCACGGCGCGCCGGGAGTGATTTTTCTTATTTAAAAAAAAAAAAAAAAAGTTGACCCAAGACTGCTATGCTCCTTGGATCCGGCCCGACCCCATGCAAACCCGGGTCGGAGGTGTGGGGAGAGGAGAGTGAGAGGAGGGGCCCTCTGGCAGCCCCGGAGCCTGGGAAACACGCCCCAGCTCCGGCAACCTGCAGGGAAGCGCCAAGCAGGGTTCCCCCTGTCCACTGGGGTCCTGATCCAAGGGGCCCAATGGAGGCGCTTGTGCCTGCGTACACCCCAAGTCCTTGCCGCGCGCCCACCTACCGTTCCAGACTAGCTCAGGAGAAGGTGTGGGTAGGTGCTCCCTGAGACAGTGTACTCCGTCCCGGGAGGAAAGTTTGTGCCATGCAGAGGCGGCGGCGCGGAGAAGGCGTGGGCACCAGTTGGGGCGGGGGTTGGGGGGCGGCGACGGCGCGGCGTGCTCGTGTGTCCGTCCCTCCCGCGACCGGTGCGTCCGTCGGAGCCCGCGGCAGCCGCGCTCCCGCTCGCTGCGCCCTGCGCCCGGCGCGCTCCAGCTCCAGTCCCGACGCGCCCCCGCTGCCGCCGCCGCCGCGCGTCCGCCGGCTACACTTCCTCTTCCTCTGAACTCATGTGCAAAATATGCTGCGCTGCATCTTTGGGGGAAGCCGTGCGGCCCCTAACAGCCGCCTCGGGAGCAGCGGGCCCGCCCGCGCCCCCTGCGTGCTCCGCGCCGCGCCGCTGCCTCCACTCGGCGGACAACTTGCGTGCGGCACACGCAGCGACCCAGCTACCGACCTTCGGTGCCCTCGGCTCAGGGGTCCCAAACTCACATACTGTCTCTCCTCCTAACCAAGGCTGTGTGTGTGTGTGTGTGTCAGTGTGTGTGTGTGTGTGTGCGCGTGTGGAGAGCGCATGTGGGGTACTGGGATCCCTCAAATTTTGAGCGGGGATTCTGGAGGGGGACTGCTACCAAGGTACTATGGGCCGAAGGTGGGAGGATCATTAAAAAAGGCTCATTCCTCCTCCCCATTCCTCAGGTGGGCCCCTCCCTGGTGGCCCTGGTGTTGCCTAAGTTATTTCTTGGGAGTTAGTGCTTAGAGAGCTGGGTAATTGCCACTGTTTCTTGCCATAGTCCCCCAATTTAGGGTGTCCAGAAGGTTTGAGAAAATCTAGGGAACCGTCTTGCCCTCACTTTAGGCTGCCCAAGAAGAAAATTTTATAAATAAAGTGCCAGGCCAGGGCTACTTTAGTAAAGTGAGGATGTGGGGAGGTGAGTGCATTATAAAATTTCTTTCTTCTTGGCCCTATTTAAACAAAGCAAAATTACAGTGTAGGGGTTAAAAGCTGGAACGCTAGAGCCAGACACACAGGGTTGGCCTCCTGGCCTCCCTACTTAACTCCCTGTGTGACTTGGATAAGTGACTTAACTGCTCTGGGCTTGTTTCCTCATTTTTCAAACAGCACTTCCACCTGGATTTTGTATGTAAAGTGTTTAGGAAGCATTCTGTAATTTAGCTATTATCATTGTTGTTACTATAAGGGGACTGGAACAGACAGCAGGCATAATCTCATTAATTACATTTTCGGCCCAAAGAGAGGGCCTTAGGCATTGGAGTCCAAAGGGTAGAAGGCTAGATTTAGCCCTAACTGTTATAAGGAGGTCCTTCTGGTACTAATAACACCTCCCCAGGGGGTAAGGAAGGGCTATTTTCATTTCAGAAATTCTTGTTACCACAGCTTCGCAGAGGTTTTCTTCCATGTGTTTCTTTTTCCACACCCACTCCAGTTCTCCTTCCCTCCCCCGCCCCACACCAGGGTTTGTGTTTTTGCTTTTTGCCCTTTTCCCTTGCTCCCCCACCACTTGCTGCCACCAGTCACTACCGCCTCCACCACTTCCAATCTCTCCTGCTCTCTGCCCTCCCTTGGCTTGTCATCTTGGAGAAAATAAGACCAGGCGACAGCCCAAGTCCAGGTTCTAGTAGCAGTGTGTGGGGACAAGTGTCCAGTGGCACCACCAATGGTTCGGAACGCCCACCTGTGAGGCCAAAGGGAGGGATCTTTATGATATCTTCCTGAGGCCTCCAAGTGGTGCAAGGCAGGGCCCATCAGAAATCTTTCTGATCTTTTCATGGCCTTTACACTGAAGAAAGAAAATAACATTTATAGGTGTTAACCACTTTTAAAAAGAACAGCATGGAGTATTTTTTTAAAAGATAAAAATGAAAAGCAGCATAAATTGGTTGTGGTTGGGGCAAGAGGTTAATTTCCTTGAAGCAAACCATTTCCACTCTGAAAAATTTTTGCACATAATTTTTTTTTGAACACCAGGTCCTTGGGATTAATGTTACTCTGATTATTTTCATTTTCCTCCACTCAACATTTTCCTGAGTACCTACAGTCTGTGTAAGTCTTAAGTGCCTTTTTCCCCTGCTTGGATCTGCATTTTTCAGGGTTTTCTAGAACTCTCAACCATTCCCCCTAGATATTCTGACACTTCCTACCTGGTACATAGTAAATGTTCAATAAACATTTATAGAATGAATGGTTAAGCTATTAGCATCTAGATCTCTTAAGGCTCTGTGTGACTTACACTGAACAATTATCTGGAACCTTCTGGTATTCTGAGTCTCTTTCACCTGGCATATCCAATGAGGAGCCAACGGTGGGTTCATTTGTTCTGAGTATCAGCCAACTTTGATTTTCCACTTGGCTGTCATGGACTGGCCAGTCAGGGCATAGACCCTGGGCAGCTGGGCCTCACCTCTGACTGACCTCCCCTACCCAGCGTCAACCCCGAAGATGCTGGGACTGTATCCTGGTGGGTTACCTTGGCAACCTCACAATGTCATCTGTTAGAATGTCCTAGGGCGGCAGCTTTTAATTCTATCACAGCAGTCTCATCGGGGGTCATGTAATAGTGCTGTTTTTCCTCTGCTCACACTTCCTCCCCCTATGATTTAACACTAAGTACTTGGGGAGGGAGCCGAACACGGGGAAAACCAAGTTATTACAGCACAACAGGTCACAGATGGCCCCAGAACCGGGATCCCCAGTGTTCCCAGTCGATAAAACACAGCCCCCGAGTTAATGGGGAAACTGGTTCTCCTCACACACCCTGTGGCACGGAGAGGAGTGAAGACAGCCTGGGCAAGGGCAAGAAGCAGCCGTGGCCAGACTGTATAATTTGTATAAAAGCTCGGTTAAAGGAGCCCCCCACTGGAACAATTCTCTCTCTTGGCCTCAGCAGCTATCACCCCACTCTGGAGGTGATTATGGCCATGGCTACCAGCCGCCAGAACAATTTTGCTGCATCCCAGCTACGCAGAGGCTTGGAAGAAAGGAGAGGACCAGCTAACCTAATCTGCCCACCTCTTCCAACCTCAGGCCCCAACCCTGCAATTTCACCGCTCCCTGAAGCCCTCCCCTCCATTGTAGCTTAAAAAACTCAGTCCCCTTGTTATTCAGTAGACAGTATCATGCAGAAAACGGGCCCCTCAGAAGCTTCAGAACCTGAAGAACGATTGTCCTAATCATTCATTAACGGGACCACGAAACCCAGGTGTTAGCACAGGGCAGCCGAACAGCAACAATTCCGGGCTGACAGGAGAGATAAGTAAACTCAGATACGCCCCAGAGGTACAAGAATTATCCATCTTTATCATCACAGTTAATATTTTAAGTGTGTTTTCAGCTACAGTGAGATCACAGTTTGGCCAGCTGCTCCATACCAAGTGGCTGCAGGAAGTGGGCCCCACGTAGGGCAACACTCAGTCCTGTAAGGAGCTGTGGTGGCAGAGGCCAGGTTCCTGTGCCCCAGACCTAGTCGTTTGGGAGGAGACCACTGCTCTTTGTTTACTGTGACAGGCACAGCCCTCACAGAGACACCTCTGGAAAGACCATGGCACCTGATCACAATGGAGCAGGGCACACTCGTGCTGCTGTCCCGACATGCCCTGTACCTCCCTCGGCAGTGTGGGAGTGTGAATTGGGGTGGGAGCCGGGAGCTGTTAGGGGACTTTATATGTAGGTAACCAGTGATTGGCCAAGGCCAGGGACTTTGTCCAAAGTGTAGTCAAACTAATACTCTGCAAATGCCACCCACTGACATCGCCAATTTGAGGAAATTTGGGTGGTTGCCCAATATTCCATTCATCCATTGCCAAAAACAAACAAAATTATTGTTATTTTGCTCCTGAATCTGCTCTTCATTTTACCTCTGAATTCTTCCCAGTCTGTCAAAAGGGCAGTTTAGGGGAGCGGGGCCCTCCTGTGGCTGAGACAGAATTTGCTCTCGGGAGCAAAGAGCCACGAGAGACTCAAGTGTCAGGAATACAGTGTGAAGCACTGCTATTGGCAGCCTGGTTTCCCTCACGCAGCCCCAGGAACCCCTGGCTTTACCAGAAGCCATCCACATCCACCCCCTTCGCTGGTTACTCCATTCGTGGGACATACCTATTTACTTGAACTTGTGAACAAACTTTATTATCAGAGATAGGGAATGTATATACATGAATATATAGGAACCCTATATATTGTAAGTATTCCACAGATGTCAAAAAAGGAAATTGTAGAAATAAATCATTAAGTGGTGGGATAATATTTTGATATCTTAATTGATATGATTTCCCTTCCACCTCTGCTATTTCCAGTTCCCCCACTGTATGTCTTGTTATACTGCACCAACCCTCTCCCAACAATTTAGACAGCCAGAAAAGACATCGTTTGCCACATGGGAGAATCATCATGATAATATCAAGAAAAAAGTCAAATTCTTGGCTTTAGGATTTTCGAAAGTCAAGGTCCAAATATAAAATGAAAAAGATAAGGAAAAATATGAAATCAAGGGGAACCATTGTCCCCTATCATATCGTCTTTCCTTCCCCTACCCACCCACTGTCCCACACACACATACCGTCTAAGAATAGATCAAAGTTGCCAGACTGGAGCAGGGGAACAGGGAGAAACAGAGGGGATATGTCAGTGGGGAGCAATTGGTACGACTGATTAGAGTCAGAATTGAGAAACCCACCTCTCTCCACTCAAGGGAGAATCATCCAACCATGACACTTGGGAACCCCGCAGACCACCGGGCAACTCTTGGAACTTGTCCAGGAGGAGCACTATAAGTCGTCAGTAAAGGACAGGAAAATGCTGTTCATCCTTCCCACTGACATTTGGCAGTGAACTCCTCTCATCGGCAGCCCAAGCACAATCTGTGGACCATTCAGAAAAACTAACTCCTATTCCTGGGGCTTAGCCCTCATGTAATAGCTAAGGATGGTGGTAAACCCTTGGGGAGTAGGGCCCTGGTACCCTGAAGGACAGCAAAAAGATCCAAGAGTATGAAAAATGTTACCAAATATTTTGCATTAGGCCTGTGATTAGAGGGGCCTGAATAGACCACTCAGGATTTCCCTTACACAACAGGGCTACAGTGATCATCAGCGCTATTCCCTAAATAGTTCTGATCTTCTCTGTATGGTGTGATGGTAGCACTGCTCTCCTTGGCTCCTTGTGGTTAAAAGAAGCTATGTGACTAGCTTTGGCCAAAGACTT